TTGCCTATCTTAAAGGAGACCATAAGAGCTTTTAAAATAACTTTTCATACCCTTGGGTATCGAAGGGTAACACCATTGAATTAATGTCTATATTTTTAAAACAGCATTTACTGTTATAAATTAATAGTTTGTAAAAGCATTATATAGTAAAATTAACGAAGGTTCTATGTGTTTAATTTAGTGAAGAAACCATTTAAAAATATCTTGTCATTAGCCTGGAATTTAATTTTGAAATTTGAGAATAAAAATCACTCTAGCTCATTAGTGGTTAAAGTTAGATAAATAATTTCAGGACATTTCAATATTATATTGAAAGCTTAGTTTATGATAGTAATGGTATTAAATTCAGTTGATAGTCGGTCAATCTTCAGACACTCTTTTAAAATTAAATATATAAATGCTATCAGGCTAATAATGTTTGTAATGTAGTTTTTAATGACTATGATTAATTAAAATACAATTATTAATTTATTAAATTAGCATGATAGTTTAAGGTCAATTACGTAAAACAAAAATAGCATAATTAATAGCATAATTCAAACCAAAAATAATTTTAATTAAATTGTTTTCACTAATTATTCAAATAATAATATTACAGAAATCATAAACAGTAAAGGTCCTTTAAGAGCAACACGTATTTGCCAGAAAAATTGTTTGCCTATAAAGGAATTTGCCTATATGAGACTAAACATTTATTTTTATTAATAATACATAAAATACAGTTTTAAAGCAAATAATCAGTGATGTTAGCCTGTTTAGCATTTAATTTGACTAAATATATTTAACTCAATATTTGGTGCCAAAAGGCTTTTCCTGTGATTTTTGCAGACATTTTCTATAATTTTTTAAATCCCGTATAATTATATATACAGTAGAATAGGAAGTTGGTAACCCTTGTCCGATCCGACCCTTAAAGGTTTCGGACGGGACGGGTTTGACTATAAATGGCGGGACCGGGAAAAGGTTTCCCGGTATATAAATCAAAACCCTTAAAAAGCCCAAACCTTTATATTTCTCACATTATTTATATTTTCTCTCAACCCCCAAAATGATGATAAATTATTGTTTATTGGATCCAATTATGATTTTTGTAAACCTTAAAACATAAAACATTATATGACCATGTTTATTGTAAAATGCAATAAAAGTGAATTTAATGTGAAACTTATCGCAATTTTGGAGTTTAATATTTTAAGAGGTTTTTCGGGTTACTACGGATCTCCCGGAACAGAGGCGGGCGTGTCGGGCTTCCCGTTTGAAATAGACCAAGGGTTCGGGTCGGGTTTCAAAAATTGGTTCAACTTTGGACCTTAATATACAGTAACAGTCAAGTGGTGTCTGTCTTAAGGCAAATGAATCTATGTGTGTCCACTAGTTATCATTTGTTCATTTTTAAAGTGCTAAATCAACACAAACACTAATAAATTTATAAACACATGGCAAACACAAAACATGTATACTTTGTATGTAAAAAATATATTTTACCACAAATTACTAATTGAAAAACATTTTTGCATTTTTAAATATTTTTATACAGTCTGTTGCTTATAAGAGCACTACATAATGTTATATATGTGCTTACAAAACTAGTGACTTATAAGAGACTTTTGCCTATAACGGACTTGCTTATAACAGACTCCACTTCCATTGTAAGTCCATAGGAGCTGCCGGTGCTTTAATATTTGCTTGAATAAAGGATTTTGCCTATAACAGCCGTTCTCTTATCAGACCTTTACTGTAGTCATTAAAAACTTGTATAATATATAAAGTTGATATAATATGACATACATTGAGACTGACCAGTTCGCATATTATGATTAGTTGACAATTGACTAAAAAATAGTCAACAAATAGTGACATCAATTTTGATGTAGATTTGAATTCAATATTTTTAAGAACGTAAAATACGGTACATTATTTATTAACGTAAATAAAGTTTGTGTTTTAAATTGATTGTGTAATTTTATTGTGCAGTCTATTTTTTGATTAAATTATGGCATGGATTGTGGCCTTTGATCAACAATACAATCAGCGAAGACCACGACATTTTAAGGATCGATCAAATCCATTGGAAACAATGAATGACATTCAATGTGTTCAACGTTTTCGTTTGGACAGAAACGGTATTCTCGATGTTTGCCGTTTAGTCAATAACGATATTGAAAGGCAAACAAATAGAAACCATTCAGTGCCACCAATAATACAAGTTTGTGCGGCCCTACGGTAACTATGACAAGGTGCCTTCTTCAGGGTCACGGGTGACTCAATTGGATTGAGTAAATCTACACTTTCAATAGTATTGCATTCATTTACCCGTAGTTTGGCCGCAAAATCGGCTCAGTTTATTAAAGTAAGATTTGTATATTCTGTTTAAAATATATATAATTAATTGCATAAATACTTAGTAATTAAAAGATATATTCATTGATATATTGTGTCAATCATTGAGTAGAGAATGTCATTGAGTTTGAGACAAACATTTTATGTTTTGTTATAATTATAGTTTGCATTGAAATGTCATATTAATTAATTAATTAATTTTGAATAATTTTTATTAAAGTTTCCTATTACCGAAGCGGAAATCGCATTAACTAAACAAGAATTTAATGCATTAAGAAACTTTTCTAACGTTATCGGAGCTGTTGATGGGACACATGTAGAGATTTTAGCCCCGAATATTGAAATAGAGGCCGATTATGTTAATAGAAAAGGCCGTCACTCACTAAATATTCACGCCGTTGCAAACGCCCGGCTAGAATTCACCGATATTGTTGCCCTATATCCAGGTCGAGTTCATGACTCATTTATTTGGGCTAATTGTGGTTTAAAGCGTAAGCTTGATTCTTTGCCTCAAATTGGATGGCTATTAGGTATATACCATGTTTGTAAAAATATTTTTTATTGTATAAAAATCTACAATGATAACTTTGGTTACTTATATTTAAATTAAACTATATTAAACATATTTATGTGATTCGGGTTCCCCATTAGAACCGCATTTAATGACACCTGTGGGCCGATCTGGTGCTGCTGGCGATGGGATTCTTGGGACCCGAGACTTACCTCACGGAACAGCTGAGACTCACGAAAGACCAGAGATCTAATGTACTGACCAAAGCGGGCACTTATAGGACACCCATCGATAGGATCTACGCGGCCGGGGATTGCCGTAGAAAACAGTCGCTTGTGGTGCACGCCATCAATGAGGGCCGACAGGCGGCCCGCGAGATCGACGCCGACCTCCACAACGGCATGTCTACGCTGCCCGGACCCGGGGGTGTCATACCGTACCCGCCGATAGGTTTGGGCACTAAACTAATGGCCGGTTAGCCGATGATTAGGTTTATTGGTGTGTCTGTCACGCGATTCTGTGTTTTCATTGAGTATATATAGAGTATGATTAATACATATAAATATATACCGTATATATAGTTACGAGAAGTGAATTCATGAAACAATTTAAAAGTTTAATTTGTATTAAATGTACATTTTTTCGGTCAATATATTTAGTATGATATGAATTAGTGTCCAATCATTGAAACATTTTAGCCTTTATTTGCTGTTAAAACGATTGAATAGACTATCAAATGATGAATACAATGAAAAATTGAATTAATAATAATTAAAGTGCTTTTACTGATCAGCAAAATACAAGTGAAACACAAAACGAAACGTCAATCACTTATTTAAATGAGTTTTTAAAGTAGTTTTTATTGTATTTGTTTTTAGAGTTTTAAATAATTTATATGATTATTATTAATTGAATTTTGAACTAAAAAACATTGGTGATACTATATTGATAAATCATAATTATTTACTGAATATATTAAATGAGATATTTTAGAAGTTTTTAATTGTTTTTCATAAACACTTTAATAGTGATTATAATGATTACATTACTTTGTATTTCGCGATTGAAATGAATATTTTAATGAAATTCTCTCTGAATTTATTATTATTTTTTATATACTATTATAAACTGGAAAACGAGAGTAAAATAAAGTTTTTGTCCATTTTATTGGTGTTTACGATATATATAATGAATAAATGGTTTTAATTTCATATAATGATTATATAATTATGTAATTTATTAGACATAAAAAGCCAATAATTATTGACAAAGTCTTCCATTTATTGAATCAATTTAAATGAATTTTAACAGAAATTGTAGCAAAATATGAGTAAAAAAATCATATGAATTCACGAATCGATTGCAAACAAAATTAAGTGTCAATTAAATCTCACTTTTGATTAGTTTTATATAAATTGTTTCTCAAATATTATTTGATGAATTTGTTTCTGTAATCTCATTGTAAATCCATTTATGAGTTGTTGTTTTCACACAGTTTTTAGTTTTTATTAAACGATTTTTTATATTTCATTACAAAATGCTATCTTTTTATTGATTTTTGATTCAAAAAGTTGAGTACACTTTATACGAGATCTGAGTTTTGTTTTATAGGATTTGCGTCGAAATCTTAATCCTCTGTCTCTAATGCTATACTTATATTGAGTTCAAAACTTGTCTTAAATTACAATCGATTTGACAAATAATCTACTGTTATATCTATGACTAAAACAATCAATACTTGTGTTCAACAAAAAAGTATTAAAGTATTTGATGTAATGTTTCCATAAAATATTCGCATAAAGTTTCCGGAAATCAATAAAACAAATAAATTGAACAAAACGTGTGTTTAATTACTATTAAATTATCCAAACTATTAGATTTGTTTAATAGATTTGTTAAAATTTGTATAAATTTAATACCAAGCTAATAATTTGGTAAATTCCATTTTAGTATTAAATTTCAAATAAATTTCCAAACTATTAGTTATTAATGAATTAATACTTTTATATTTAAGGCAAACGATAACTTTAATTGACATTACCGTACAATGACTTACAGTTAAGTAGTCATAGAAATGATTGAATCGTATATTTATAGGTAATTTATAATATATTTATTGTCTTAATTACAAAACGATTATCACATAAACTCTGAATAGAAAAATGGTTACAAAATCATTGAAAGTCATAGAAAAATAATTTAAACACAAATTAATTAAATACAAAATACTTGAACACAATTTGATTGAATACGAGATAATACGCTGTGTTTGTCCTATAGGTATGCCGTCCACCCGACGTACATAACCCCCAAATTGTTAACATCCGTCGCTTCCTATAAACACAGAAAAAACGATACATTTAAACAATTATCTCAAACACACCACTCATTCAAATACTTTGATAATGGAGTCCACCTGTCCCTCGACCGACAGGGGAACGCCTTTCGGTAAGTTCTTCTCATTCCGGGCCGGTATGCCATTAAGTCGGGCCTCAATGTTGAACACAATTTTCTCGGCCTTTAAAAAACGGACACAAAATCAAAAACCAATTGAAACCTCAAAACATACAAAAAACAAATTACAGTATCGATCGTAAACTCAACGGACGTCTGCCTGAGGTCTCCATTGCCTTTCCACTCATTCAAGTGGTCGTACCGGAAAGGGGTCACAAAGTTCATGACCGCCTCCTTGTTCTCTCTAACCACTCGTAAGGTGTGCTCACAAGCTTTGCGGAACGTGCCCTCAAACTCGGTCACTCCCATGGCATGTACCATATTATGGGTCAACCGGAATGGCACCCTCTCGGGCACCTGGAAGTCCTCGCCCTTATTGAACATACAGTTGAGGTCGACGTGGACCGTCTCACCGCTGGCCTCCTCGATGAGAATGTTCTCCCCGTGTCTGTCGCCCAGACCTAACAGATAGCCCACGACACTGAAAACGGCTGAGGAGCGGGTGTACGCGAGTCGGGCGGCGAACCACGACAGGGGGTCCGAGTAGGTGCTCGCGAACCAGTTGCCAAACACGGAGGGCATGAACTTTGGCAGTATATACGACTGGAACTTCTTAACCCTCTCAGTCTTGGGGAGGGTGTGGGGCGGGTAGTTGAGGGTCACGTCCTTCTTGATGGCCTCGTAATTCATGACCAGACCGTACTGGCCCTCCACGAGCGTCCGGAATGGGGTTAAACCGGGTATCCATTCGATGAGTCCGCACGTGTCGGACAGGGAGACCACGAGATAGGTGTTGACGCGCAGCTGCCGGCGCCGGGCCTCCGAGTCTCGTTTGAAGCACCGGTTCAACAGATTGCAGAACTCGAGGAAACAGTAGTCTTTGCGTAAATCGTCGTTGGGTTTGCAGAGAATGGTATACCTCTTGCCATCCGATCCCACGATCGCAATCTTCTTCGGCCTCTGCAGTGAATGCAATAACTCGATGGTGTCCTCAAACTTATAGATATAGACATCCTTTGCCGCGAAGGGCTGGTAGTGCTTCTCGTGAGTGGNTCTGGTTTGACAGACTGTTCCGCCATTTGTTTGAGAGCTCTTTGATACTCCTGAGGGAACACTTTGACAATCTTCTGCCTCAATGTCTCGAAGTTGTTGAGTATATCTGCGGCCACTTCTGAACCGGTCTTCTCATTGAACTCTTTGAGTAAATCCTTGAAGAGAGTGATGTCTTCCTCCAGTTCTAGTGGCAAGAGATCAACCATTTCTGGATTGCACTTCGAGGCAAACCTCCCGTCACTTCAGAAATCAAATCAAATCATAGTTTCAAAAAACTTTTCAAACTAATGGTGTCTTTGATTATCACTACTCACAAGTCGTAGACGTAAGCGATTCCGCCGGACATACCGGCGGCGAAGTTCCTGCCGGTGGCGCCCAATATCACGACAACGCCTCCCGTCATGTATTCGCACCCGTGATC